AATAATAACGTGAGGAGCAGACATCGGACGCAAGCTTTTCCAAAGCTCACCGGTACCGGTAATGCATCCGAATAACAGCTGATCATCGATATCTAGAGAAATTCATCCAACCCCATTGCGGTTAGAGAGTTCACTAAGAAACCGGAAGAGAAGGGGGGGAGGTGAGGGAGTACAAAATTTACCGTGATACAAGTAATTTTATTTCACCCCCCCCAATCCACCGCCATACAGGAAACTACGGCCTGTGTTCGCCGTTTAGACGAGGGAGATCTAAATTATCTAGATTTTGCGAGATCGAATGTTAAAAAAAAAAAAAGGTGATGGCAAACCCCTGTATCCCAGCTCAGCCTATCTACTCGAGCAGCGGGCAAGAAGTGTCCGAAAACAGGACTGTAAGTTTGTATTGGCGCTCATAGGCACAGCGTTTCTGCCATATATTTCGTGAATCCCTGTTTTCGGGTATTCCCTACCTGCTACGGGTATGATACAGTACTCTACCGGTGCCCGTGCACTCCAACCTTGATAGCCGCTCCGTTCGTCTCGTCCATCCGCGTTTATTCGGAAACGCAGGCAAAACAGCTCCAGTGTCCGATGACGTATTGCGCGATGGGCAAGGAAGTATCCATAGCCTATTGCTCGGTGTCCGGAACAGATGAGCTAAAGGGAACGCGAAGTACGAGTACTCGTACTTGTACCCTTCCTGGGAGCAAATGCGGGGAAAGCTTGTGTTTCGACTAAGGAAACTTACCCGTATCGAGTTAAAGATTGGCTGATTGAGCACTAAAACAATAAACGGAGCCTCTTCCCCCCCACAAAAGCAAAAAACATACTTGTGGCTGGAGGAGGAAAAAAAAGAAAAGAAGTTATTTTCCCATTTTACTCGAAAAAAGCTAAAAAAAGCAAAAGGGAAATAAATTCCCCCCATCCAGATTCGAGGGCGCTAAGGCGAAGCAGAGCCGGGCTTCCACAGAAAAGCCAAGACCTGGAGAAATGGTTGACGATGAGACACGGGATCTTGCAGAGAGAAAGAGAGGGAGAAGTCGCCTTCTCTCCTGTCCTATGGCACAGACTGGTATGTGCTCGAGTACTCGTGCCCACGGTTGAGGGGGTGGTTGCGTGGTATGATGGAGTTGATGAGCTAGGTACAGATGTCGACAAGCATTCTCTTGCATTCTTCCCCCCATCAGCGGTTTCCCCAGGACCCACAGTGATTGTAAATCGTAGGGGCTACATTTCCCGCAGCAGCATCTTCTGATGCTGGCGCATGATCATGAGGGAGTGGTGGTAGGAACTGCGACTCACTTAGTTGCTGCAATGGGACATTCCTTCTCGTAAGAACGGACCCTTCGGGAGCACCAGTGCGGTGATCGGAAGTGCACTATACTCGAGAGTACTTTTAATATTATGCTCGCTTTCTACGAACTCAGCAATAGAGAGGACACACTCCCCTACCAGTGCGAGTGGACGTACCGGTATTTGATCGTCTCCTATGTGCGGTACCCATCGTATCCCGAATCCTATCACTAGTGAATGGAGATCTCAGCAAACACTCGTACGAGTACACACCATGAACCGAAGGATGCGGAAAATACGGGAGTGTGAGGATGAGGAAGGAAAATGAAGTAAATGAAAGCCGCACGATATATTAGCAAAGGCAGAATACGCCGGTGCACCACGCTACACTACGAGTACTTGGGGTACGAGTACTCGAATAGGGTAACAGCGTTGATATACTTGTACTGGTATCGTGATCAGCATCGCAAGTGGCGGCAAAAAAAAGTAAAACAAGAGAAACACAGAGAGGGAGAGACGGTGTAGAAGGACCTGTTTGGGTTTGGCTTCCTTCAATGCTTACTGCCCCTCTGTTCACCTTTGCCTCCTCGTTGAAGGACGGAAGAGGAAACATGACTTGCCTGTCCTACAGGTGCGCATTCCTCTCTCCCCCTCTGAGATCAGACGGTGGAAAGTTGGAAAAAGCAACAATGGTCTTACAAAGCCATTCGCGGGTGCAGAAAGGGGTTTAGACTGTGATATGCGGCCAATTGACGCAAGCCGGATGCCAGACAAGCTAAGCCCTTCAAGAGTTTGGTATGACCAGGTGAGCAGTCGCGGTTGATTGGTGGGAGAAAAGGGGAAAAAAAGCAGAGGGGAGTGTACGAGTACTCGAGTACTGTACCGGTATGAGTGGAGCAAAAAAGAAATAAAATAGAAAAGGTTCGGAGTGGGAAAGAAGAGCCCACAGTCTCCATCAGATATCACTTTACGCCCAAAGAGCTGAATCAAACCTAAAAGAAAAACACGGAAAAAAAGCTTGGTATGATACAGTATCACACTATCTCGCAAAGGAAGGAATGGGGAATTCCGTTTCCCCTTCTAACTCCCGCATTCGGCAAACGGAGGACCAGACACGGTTCGTCTCAAGGACTGAACAACACGGAAGGTCCTCACCAAAAATTTACGAATCAGAAAGGCGACTGACAGGCCGATCGTGGCATCGACCAACGGTTTTTTAACCATTCTCGAGTCGACTTCGCCGCAATGAGCAAGTCATACATCGTGGCCTTGAGCGCCGTGTCTCAGAAGCCTGGAAGATACCGGTACGGGTAATGCAGGGTTCGAGATACTCGCAGTTAGCGATTGAAATTTTTAAAAGGCAGGGGGCGAGAAGTGATAGGGAGAGAAGGGGGCGGTTCGCAATCGCCTGTGCGCACTGTACGAGTACTCGTACAATACGGTCCTCGAGTCCGGTAGACTAGTAAATTTAATGAGCCCTTCAAGAGCATCGTAAGAGCATCGTGAAATGCTCGAGTACGGGTACTCTCAACTCAACACCATGACCGAAACTGGTCCCTTTTGTTGCGGGGAATGTAAACAAATTTTGTGTGTCTCTCTGGCGTCATAATTTCTGGGGTGGTTTTATTTTATTTTGTTTTATTATTTGTTACTGCACACTATTTTCCTCCTCTTGGCTAGCGTTGTCTAGCCTGGCTATCCCTTTTCTAGTTACTGGTACTGGTTAGAAGCAGGTGCCTGGATGGATGGGTCGGCTAGAGCGGGTTTCCGGCCATTTGTTTCGCTACACTACGTAAGTGCACCTGCGGCCGTGCCTCGTTGTATTTAAACGAGCTCGGTCAGAGTTCACGGACAGATGTTTAAAAATGGGAGCAAAATAGCTAAAACGGTAGAGTACAGTTTGAACGGCATATGTGTACTGCACTCGCACAGAGCTGTGCACGATATGTGTTGTGTTTGGGAAACAGATGTGGGAGGAGAAGGAGGAGAGGTAAATTCTTTTTTTTTTTTTTTTCTTACTCGTACAAAGAAGATGAAGAAAGAAAAAAAAAAAAGGAAATGGAGCAGGAAACTCTAAGTTAATCGTCGTTGTCGCTTACCGGTGGTCGTCCTGTTGTAACTTGGCAATAATAATAGTGGGGGAAACTATCACGGAGCCACTTGCCACTGGTTGACCGAGCGTGAGTTCAATGATATGATACCTGTTTTTTTTTATGAGCAGTCGCAAATGATTGGTAGTCAGCTGGAGGGCTTCGCGCTCCTTTACCTGAGCCTGCTTTGGTGGTGTCCGGTAGCGCAGCAGGACTCCCCACAGCGCGATTGGCCGTGGCGAGTAGGTTAGTAATGATGAACTTATGTAACGCATGTTGATAACCTCTGTGGTTTGTGTGAAAACTCAACATTTTTAACCGCTTTCTCTGCATAAGACAGGGGCACCCACCAATCTCGTTTCATTCATTACCTCCGTAGACACCTTTCTGGCATCATCGCCAATGAATCAATCTGGGGGCCATGCTGCGTGGAGTTGAAGGTGGAAGTGGAGGAGGGCTGGAGGGGAAACTGCGTAGGGCTTAATCACTGTGTCTCTGTTGAGCTGCTCGGTGAATGGCTCAAAAATGATTACTCTTGTATCATACGAGGGGGTACAGTATGATTTTTGAAATCACTGTAATTCCTAATATTTCTTGCAGTGAAGAGGGAAAGAAAAAGTTGATAGTGTGAAGGGGACAAAGAAGGAAATAGAATATGAAGAATGTATTTTTCTTTTCTTTTCACGGTGTTTCTGGTCAGAGAAATTGCGTGCCATGGAGTCATCATGGAGGGGGTCTACGGGGGATTATTGGAGCAAGGCACAACAACGGGGACTTGCAACACCGTACGACTACGTATATTACAGAACTGTCTTCGTACAGACCTTGGACGGGAGCGTCAGAGGTGGGGAGCGATGCATCAGAGAACATTTCTGGTTAGCAGGATTGTCTGCACAGGGCATGGAGAGAGAGAGACTGAGGAGCTGGGGTGAAAATTGGAATAATCTTTGTTTTTTGTTTTTTGAGATTCGCGCCCGAGACGACGAAAGAGGGCAAGCATGAGGCCACTTGATCCTTGCACAGCGTGCCCGTTCCCTTCTCACCATCTTCTCGCTCCATCATTAACTCACTTGCTCTCCCTCTTGCCTGCTCAGAGCGGAGAACACACACCACCACCATAACTGTACGAGTGCTCGTACACGGTGAGTGTGTGGTGTGTGGAGAGGCCAGCGAGTGTGATGCTCTTTTCTTGGCTGGTGCGTGCATGGGAGGTTGTCTCTCTGTTCGTCTGTGCGTGAGTGCTTGGTTTGTAACCAATCATAACCGCGGACGCTGCAGGAAGCTGATAGGCCAAAAGGCGGTTTCGATCTGCTTGGCCTGCGTCCTTGCCCAACTCCTCCAAAGCACGCAAAAAAGAAAAAGAAAAGAACGAAGGAAAAAAAAGAAAAGGAAAAAAAAACTGTTGCCCACACTCAACATCTCCCACTCCTCCCCCCCCCTTCAACCCTCCCTGCTTCCACACCATTTTGAAGCTACAGTACGAGTAGCACCCACACCTTCCACCTTCCACCTACCCCTGCTACCCCCTCACAATCAACCACCGCCCTGCCTCATACCCACCTTAAGCACCTCTTTAAATATATGCTGGGCCTTCTCCCTCCGAAAAAGGCGCCCCTCTAACCTTCCTCTCCTTCACTCACAACCTCCCCCCCACAACAGCATCATCACTGCTACCACTGCCACTGTCCGAGTCAGCACCACTAAACACAGAGTCCTCTCATTCATCTTCGTCGATTTCGAGTACTGTCTCGTCCTGCGCCTACGCACTAAAACAGCCCTTAATTGAAATCCGAACCCAACTGTTACCACCATCAACCATATTATCATCACCCTTGCTTGACACTACGTAACCCAAATTCGTAAAACCAAACCTCCACTCACTTCTTTCCCCCGCTACCAAACAATCAAACATTACAATTGCAATGGATTGGTCTCCGGATTACTGTCTCTCTTGCGATCGTCAGATCTCTCAATCTGGCCATGGAGCTTACTGCTCGCAATCCTGCCGCTTGGCAGATTTAGAGCGCGCTTCTTGCCGCTCGGGCTCATCATCACCACAGGCTGGGGCTTCGTCCTCGCCTTCGTGGTCAGGGTCAAACATGGGCTCTGGTGCTGGTTTCTACCTCCCTCCTCCTCTCAACTTCTCTGCCATGTCTGGCAGACAGACTAGCTCAGCCGCTTCGTCACCGACAACCAGAAGCCCTCTGTCATCCACTCCTCCCTCACAATACTCATCTCCATATGCTTCCAACAGCAACCGCAGCTCCGGTCTCTACACCTCGCCTTCCAGGACCTCATTGTCATCTCTCCAGGGTTTCAACACTCAGGAGCCGGCCGTCCTATCCGATAAGGTTACGAAGGAGCTCAGGGAATACGCGAGTTCGTTTGACCATGTGAGGGATTGGAAGCGAAGGATGACAGTTGTATAAATTTATGGGATTCGGCTCGGTGTTCGAGCCCACCCACCCATTTCCTTAGTCGACAAACAACCAACAATAACGACTCCGATTCTTCTGGATATATTGATTTACGATTTACGGTGGCGGTGGCTTCGTCACATTACAACTCATCTCAAAACATTTTTCCTTTTCATCAGCGGGGTCTTTTTCCTTATATCAATTCGGCGGATGTGGGACAACTATTTTTCGTCATAGCATCCGCATTGCAGCGTTCTGGCAAAACCATCCTTCGGCTTATCAACTCGAGATTTTGTGTTGGCTTTCGGGATTTCGGGATCCGGATACGTTACTATACCGAATCATAGGAGTTGGTCGTTCGAGGGTTGCGTCTGTTCTTTCGTTTTTCTCTCTTCTACATTTGCATATTTTGGAGTTTTTTTGTTTTATTTTTCCAAAAAAAAGGGTATCGTCTTGCTTATGGGTTTGGGTTTCTGAGGAACTTTGTGTGTATGGGGTGACTACTGGGGCGTCTATTTCATTTGTTCGTCGTGGAAGTGTTTGTCATATCACTTTTGGGGGATATCTGGGTGAAAGAAAAATTCATGGTTTGTAATTTTTTTCTCTCTCTCCCAGGTATTCCATTTCCCTACTTTTTCACTCGGTGTCTTTGAGGAAAATTTTTTCAGCTCACATTTTCATTTTTCATTGCTACTTTACCTTTTATCCTTTCCCGCACATGGTGGGCGTTCGTTGGCCCACCATGTTGTATATGGATGGATTTCTGTGTCAAAATATTTGGGGCTGTATGCAAGTTTACGGATATTGGGTTGGGTGGGTTGTTTGAATACTGAATTGTAACTAGCTAGACTTTTTTTTTTTCTCCCTTGTTTCTATTTGTGTGTTACTATGGGGGATGTTTATCTGGAAGGGGTGGAGAGCATACTTTTTTTTTTCTTTTTTTTTTTTTTTGGACGTTTTTTTTTTTTTCTTTGGGGTGATTCAATTCGCTGGCATCATACCCAGTCATAGGTAGTCCACGATAGTTTATTGAATGGGGGAGGGGAAAAAGGGGGAGACTACGAGAATAATAAAGATTTGATCACCACAAGAACAAAAAAAGTTTTTTTTTTCAACCCAATTTTGATTCAGCCCAGTCATATCCGCCTACGTGGGTGATACCCATATTATGAGATTTTTTGTTTTTTCCCTTTCCCAACACACTCACTCACACACTCACCTCTAGAGTACAGGATGCATCAAAAGACGGCCGGAAAAAATGATTCTGATAAACAACATTTACAATACTGGTACAATTTTTCCTACCCCCCTTCGGACGTCTCCCCATCTCGAGCGTACACTCAGATCGTTCGTTGCGGAAGCAGTTTCACCCGCTCGCCGATCGCTCTTTTTTCTCCTTTCCTCTCTCCCCTTCCGTGCTTGTGCGGGGACTTCCATGTCCATGTCCATGTATGATATATATCTCGGACCGAGCAGGGTGGAGGGTGTCATTGAGCTACTATGGCATGGCATGGCAGGGTCTGGCTGGTACTTGGAATGCCAGATGTATCATACTGTACCGGTATGTACATAGTACAATACGGCTCTGTACGAACGAACAAATTGTGGGCCAGCATAGGTACCGTATGGATGGGCTTGTGCCCGGGTGGGGTGGGCGATGTGTATGGTTATGATTTGTATGTATGGGAAGGGGAACCTTGGAGGCGGGGCATGGGGGTGGGGGGGGTTCAATGGATTTTTGATCTGATATGATAGCTCATCTATCGGATCTCTTCTCCCCCTGCTAACCAACATGCAACGAGGGCATTCCTATCATACCTAGCAAGACGGGTGGAGGGAGGGAGAGGGGGAGGAAGAAAGAATAAAGCTTCCTGCGAGATCTCTCCACATTGCTTCAAAAAGGAGCAAATCGTTTCCAAGTCACTCGAGTCTACACCAGTTCAGTCGGACCATATCGC